ATTATGATTACCCGTATGATTACGATGATAACTTCGAAGCGGACTTTGCGGATGAGCTGGAGGTCCTGGATGAGATGGAAGGTAGAGTGTCATAATTTTTTTAGCTCGATTGCCCCCCTCCCCAAATTCCAAGAAGTGCTGTTTCTTTGATTTTCTCTCGACCCTGCTGTCACTATCTGTTTAGTGAGACCCCAGTGTAACGTTTCTTGTTGCTTAATATTGTTGCGTAACCGACACGACGTGTAATTCCAAAGCACAAGCAAGGGGGAAAACCCCTTTCCTCTTAGTGGCATGCCAGAAAAACCTTGACCAAGGCCTTCCTCTTTTGAAGTTCATTTGTTTGATTTCAACGTTTCAGGCATAATAATAAGCGTCTTAAGCAAGATGCTTCATGTGAAAAGTTAGTAGCAATTCCTAAAAGTGCAGAAATAGGCAGAAGAACTTATTAAACTCACTCTAATTTTTTCAATTCTGTGCACAGACATTCCTGGTTTTAAACCAAGCAGCCAGGAAAAGTCCAAGCGAAGTCTGAAGTTCTCCACACCGAAGGACAAGGGTGAGGTGAAACTGAACGGCACCAGTGTCCCTGCCGAGGACAGGCAGACACAGAAGAGAGACCTGTCAGCTGTGTTTGAACTGCCAGAAACTGACGAGGAAGATAATGTTGTTAGCTCAGGTGAGATGACTTAATTGTCATGCGCTGACTTTGACTGCAGCGAAAATCACAATTTTTTGCGATACTTTTAACGATAAAAATTTGCATTTTTCATGGTCACTTCTGTACCGCAAACTTATCATTACTGTGAACAAATAACTACTTTTCGCTGAACCCGCTGCCATCGCGAATGTAGTAGTTCCACATACATGTCCATTTTTCTCAGACCACAAACTTTTGCTACCATAAAGTGATTTACAGTATATAACATGGTCATGTGTAACATGTGACAGTCATGTGGTATTCACTTGTTCAATTTTATCAATCCTACCTGATATAATACATGTTTTAGTATGTATTATTTTGTGTCTAATTAGATAGAATGCTGAGGTGACTACACTTACAATATGTTACACCAGGAAATTACCACCACCACCCCCTTAAAAATGGTTGTCCATTGTTTTCGTTTGATGTGATGCAAAGATGATGCTACTGCTGCTTCAACCAACATTTTTTCTAAATTTCAGCTTCCAAGAAGAGGCGTGTGATGACAGTAGATTCCAACCAAACTGACATCCAGGATGCTGATGACGATGACTTTGAAATCACTCCTCCGTCATCACCCAATATCATTGCCAAGGTCCAGCAGTACCGGGAAACAACAGGCAAGACTGCCGACCAGTCAGCACCACAGGCTAGAGAACAAGTAACAAGTGGCAGGTGTGTGAGCTGGTCTTTTCAGGAGTCTGTTTTATCTGTTTCTCTTCTTTTTACATAGCTTGTGTAATAAATTATATCACATATAACATGTATTTGTGAAGCAAGAATGTATATCACAAACTAGAAAGGTAACATTTGCAAAGCAAATGCATAATGTTTACCTTCACATATGGTCTGCTCTGTTAATTCTCACACAAACACATTCATATATATATATATATGGTCAGACAGGAGTCTAAATCCCTCCTACTATAAAATTGCAACATTATGTAACCCAACACCAGTTATCGTGGTGAGAGACAGTCTGGTTCAGGTCATTGACCAGGTCAGAGGTCAGTGTTTGAACAGAAGAAGAAGAAACACAGCAAAACCATGTTTTCAGTCTGTAAACATAATGATATACATTATACTGTTTGATATTGTGACCTATGAAGTGCTTTATTGGTTCTCATACTGCTGAGATGTTGTGTTCCTAGGCCAGCCCAATCCAAAAGTTGTTTCTTGAGAAGACCTCCATCAGGCAAGTTTGTGACAGTGACAAATGAAGATGGTGAGAGGATGTATCTGAAGGAGCATGAGGACACGCTTCATGACAGTCAGGTAAGGAAGAATGCTGTTTTGTATCAGATGCCCATTTGAGGTGTGAAGGTGCCTTAAAACAATAAAGATGCAGAAAACATGTCATCTATCAGTATGTGTTGCAATGTAAAGTGGCTAAAGTGGGGAAGTTGGTAAGCTCCTACTTTTACTGACACTTTAGTTAGAGACACTGGAATTAAATATGATAACTTAGAAAAAGTATGATGTTATGAAATCTGTGCTAGCCTGGTCCTGGCTCATACAGGCCGATAGATGATAATAATGACGATGATGAAGTTAAGAATGATTTAAGAGAGAGTTATATCCTTTATGAAAATGTAGTGAGTGAAAATGTAGTGTTAACTTTTATTGTGTACCTATCTACAGGGGACAGCCAAAGATCTTTATATCTTAACATAAGTACAATGTGTTACAATCATGATGAATCATCTCATGTGACCATCTTCCCCCTCCCCCCATCTACTGTCTATAGAAACTGAGTGGCCACACCCTGCCTGGAGGGAGACCCTTACAGCTCCTGTCAGTTTCCTTCAGGCAGTTGAAGGACCAGGTAGAAGATGAGGTGTGTGTGACAGTATTTCATTTTATTTCTATATTTAAAGTATATTCTCTATGACAGTTAGATACATGTAGAAGTCATTTTTTGTGTTTGCCTAACATGCTGCATCATTCAATTATTTGAAAGTTTGATTACATTGTAGAACAACTGTTAGTGTCCAAAACTATACCGGTAATTGTTTCTTCTCCAGTACAGATGAAAAGATGTGCACTGGTCATACAATAACATGTATTTATATACTGTAGCTTTCAATAGTCCTTGATTAGGACAGTTGCGGTACATGTGCCATGTCTTTTTTAAACAGTCCTAATTTGTTGTCACAGTTTCTTAAAGTCTTGATTTTTAATTACTTTTCCAGAGAAGGAGAAAAATTGTTGCTGAATCTGAACGAATTACGAGGGAAATTAACAGGTAAGTCATGTATGCCTTGCTTGAGCTATATTGTCTAAATACATGTTTAAAAGTTGAATGAAAGCTCAATTGTGTTGATGACTATCAAGGTGTGATGGTGATGAGAACTATAGGCTAAACACAAAGAAATTTACATGCACCTCTTACAAAAGAAGCTAGGGGGATCTGCTGCAACATATGTAAAGCATTCATGAGTTGCACGTTTTCCATTCCCAGGGGCCAATCCAAATCCACAATTGCACCTAACATGAAATCTCCATCTTTTGTTGTTGAAGATATTTCAGCCCATAATTTCAAAAAATTTAATCAAAATCAGAATCACAATATTATTCTGGTTTGGAATGAGCAGTTCTTAGAGCAAAATTTCATCATTAAGTTTTGGTTATTTTTTTTTATTACTGTTTAATATACAATGTTTAGCTATTTGTCATTGTTAGGGTCCATGAATGAAATTTGTTTTCTTAAGATTACAAGCAGTTCTTTTTACACCAGACAACTTGATAGAGACCTTGGAACTGAAGATGAGGAAGATGGAGGGGCATCTGACCAGGAGGATGCTGGGAAATCTGCACAAACTGGATTGTGGGTAGACAAGTTCACACCTACCAACTACACAGAACTGCTTAGTGATGAGGTAAGTGGCTCTGTATTTGTGTCTGTATAGCTGGTATAACCGCCCTTTGGCATAACACACCAGCTTTGCAGGCACGTGGCGTGGCGGCACAGGCTACATTACACCGAATGACTTGTTACACCTAACCCTTGAACATCTAACTCGAAACGTTGTTTAAAGCTATCTAATGATAATGCCCCTACTGTACTTGGTGACAGTGAGTTCCACTCTGTAATAGTTCTAGGAAGGAATGAGTTTTTGAACACCTCAATCCTTGGTTGATAACTCTGGTACTTGAAGGCATGACTATGGTCCTACAGGATAAGATTTTTATGTATTAGTTTTATTTATTATCTATTATAGGTTATAACTCAGACAGGATGTATCATAGTTTTAAGGCAGAAACCTGAAAAAGTTATGTGTATGTTGTCAGTGTAAGCTGGCATTCTGCAGTCTTTTTCCTTTTAATAAATTGATGCTGATTTCAGCTACAGTTTGAAGATTAATGTCCAATAGCAGTGAACATCTAAAATAAAAACCTTGCTACTTGTTAAGACAAGAAATGCACGAATTGCCTTTCTCCTATGGATTACAGTAACATCATATCCTGCAAACTAAGTTTTTTCCAGTTTTTCAGTCCTTGGGAATGAGCTTGAGATTTCTCATTGAAGTTTGCATCTTAGAAATGTATTTTTCTCTCTCAGGGCACCAACAGAACCCTCCTGACATGGCTGAAGTTGTGGGACACTGCTGTGTTTGGTCGTGAGCGGAAGGTGAAGAAAAAACCGGCTGATCAGAAGAAAGGACAATTCATCAACTGGCAAGCTAAGAGACTGGAGGAGGAGCTTGTCCAGGTGGGTGCTGCAGTTCACTCATAAACAGACAGGGGGATGGCCTCAAAGCTGTTAGAAGTACATGTTGTACATCTACCTAGGGACTTGAGTTACATGCATTTTACAGAAGGTTTAGACAAATTCACAAGTTAAATGTAACAGATATGTATACACAGGCAATTCTTAGCTTTTCTTGGATATCTACACATTACATTATTATGTATCACTTGTCTAGTTTAGCTCAAGTTTATCTAACAAATTACATGACTTTATGAAGAAATGCTTCAACTTGAATCCCCCCCAGTTTTGTAGTAATTTCTGTTCTTGCTAATCTACATGTATCTATTTTTATGTGTGTGTATATAACTCTCAGGATGAAGACGGTTTGAAGCGTCCACAGAAGAAGGTTGCCCTCCTCTGTGGGCCACCAGGGCTGGGCAAGACGACCCTGGCCCATGTCATCGCTCGGCATGCTGGGTACAATGTGGTGGAGATGAATGCAAGGTGAGGGCAAGTTGTCGTGTTGCGTTTTTGGTTGTTGACGGTTGGTTGCATACCTACCTAAGTGCAGAACTCTCTATAGACAACAGTCTTCCCGCGCACCATCCGGGGTGGAACAACCTGCTAGCGGACGTTGCCCTCTGCACCAATCTAGAGGGCTTTAAGTCCATGATGTAAGCCTTGTAATCTCCACCTCCTCATTACATATCATTCCACCCCCCCTTGCGCCGTAAATCCGTTATGGTTGCAAAATCTTTGATACAAGGAAGGTGGTCACCTTAGAGAAAGAAGAAGAAGACATCATCAAAGTTAAGCCAAAGCATGATTCTTTTCAAGCAGCTGTAAGTGCAATGCAACCTTGCCACGGCTTGCACTTTCAGTCAAGCACACTTACATGTTGTGCTTATGAGGTTAAAACTAATTTACAACATTAAAACAAGAGGATAAATGAAATTTGCGTCTTCAAAGCCGATGGTAGGACACATCGTTTTGTAGCGGTTACCCAACAGATTGTGTTAGGAATGCTCTTTTATGGTTGTTGTTTGATGTCATCATCAATCGATGTGAAGCGTGTCAAGCTTTTCAAGCAGCTCTGCTGTAGCTCACGTTTCCAGCCATCCACACTGAATCAACTCTCCTAAGTGTTGTGCCTCTGAGGATAAACTAATTTACAGCATCAAAAACAAGAGGACAAATGAAGTAAGCAATTCAAAGCTGCTGGTAGCACTTTGAAGTGATTGCTCTGTTTGTTTCTTAATTTTCTGTCCTAATTTGTTCAAAGGCCCTGAAAAAGCTAAGAGAGTTCTTATTCACATTGGTCATTGCCAAGTTGCCAAGTGGTAACAGCTGTTGTAATGTCCAAACACAAACTACATGTACATGTGTATGTCGATGTACAAACCTCAATAGTTTTCCTTGGTCACATGTGTCACACATCTAGAACACATTGTTTTGTAGCAGTTGCCAAAGGTTAACACATTTAGCTTCTTCAAAGCAGCCACAGTTTCTGCCAAAGGATAGCGAAATGAGTTACAAAACAGTCCCCTAAACAAAATGTGCTGGTAATTTCTTTCTGTCTTGAATTTGCATTTTCAGTCATTTTGGCTCAAACATCTAAAAGGCCAGGAACATCTGGCACTTTCTGGCAAAGGACTCATAACTGGGTTACAGCCTCAAAAGAAAAAGGTTCTGGTTTTAAGCTTTGAAGTTATATAGGTCTGGAATTTGCATTTTCAGCCGTCATTTTTGTCTCAAAGGCTTCTAAAAGGCCAGGAAATCCTGGCTGAGTAAATTGCTATTTACCCACCTGGTCCACAGGGTTAGCAGACAACTTAAGGTCTTTGTTCTAAGCTGGAAAAGAAGTAAAAGTCACACTCACGGGGAATGAGTATGCAAAAGGTTAACTCCACACCGGCTACCGTGGTAACAGATCATAAACATTCTTAACGCAAATGTCTCTTAAGTCGGTGGCTCGGTCATCTACCAGTAATAACCTCCACCTTTAAATGAGATTAAAGGCGTAACCTACAGTCGTGAGGCATGGCAGTAAACAGCACCTTAATGGAGATACTCAGGGTATCTGAAAATGGAGAGAGAATGTGCTACCAGACTTCGTGACCAGAAGGGAAACACTTACTGTCTGGAATTTGTGGCAGACATTATTGTTAACAGAGATTACAGATACACGTAACAGACATTTATTTTTTGATGTATAGAAATTAAGAAAAAAAAGGTAGGCAGGACAATTGTGTCACAAGACTGCAAGACAACGCCAGAGTAGCTGATTTGATAGTAGAAGAGACCAAGAGGGCTGCCTAGCATGTTAGATATAATAAATTTAAGACTTCAGGGAAGTGTGAATGAGCCATGAATTTATATGTAAAACTATGGATCTGTGGATGTTGTGATCCCAAAGAATAAGGAGAGAACCTGACCATACGATGATGTACATTGTACACCCCCCATGATACACGACCTACATTGAAAGGGATTTTAGGCAGCTGACGCACAAAAACTAGTCAGTGACAAACCTTGTACATCTACCCAGCTTACTGTAATGTGAACACAGGCACCAACGATCTTTCCAAGCCATTACTGTAGTACCTAATGGTGAGAGGTTACGTCACAATACCTTATAGTCGTCTTGCTTCACAGCGTGTGTTTCACTTTCTGTTACCGGCAAAGCTGGCGCAATTATCTGTGAATGACGTAGTAGACTGTCACTCTCGCTTAATTGATAGCACCAGAGGTGCGTGTGTGACCTTAGCTATATAATCCAATAAACAACATTATCACATTAGGATCATCAATAGGCATCTACTTGTTTTTTATACTGCATTGCTGACGTGAACAAGATCATTTTACACCACCACATGCATGAACATGTGAATTGTCAGTATATTGTCAGGTGATGAAATTACCTTTAGTAAATAAATGAATGGAAGAAAAAAGTTATACATGTTGTCTATTAGTACTTCAAGTGGTATTGCTACCACTACCCACCAGAATTTGGTTGAGCCTTTCACATTCACGATCATCCTACGAGTTTGTGGAAATCTTCTTTACTCCTCAAGTCTCCTATATGCTACCCAGTCATTGCTTATATTTGCCACATAATGATTATTATTATTGACAGAAGACAGCAAGAAATTGCATTTTTGATATCCTCCAAAGACCCCATACTGAACCATGAATTGTATGAAGGTGACTACATCGCCGGGGTGTCTCATTTACCAGCATCTCCAGTCGTTTGTCTGTCAGAAAGCTTTCATCCCGGTACGACCCTTGCCACAATCTTTACACTTCTTCACAGAGAACTGAGCAAAAAGCTTTCCTGAGGTGTGAAATGGCGACGTTAAACCTATGTCAGGGCTTGTCTGAAGTCTGTGTGATGTTGTCGGTGTGAGAGAAGGTCATGTTTCACATGATCTCCTGGCCTTGCAACCATGTATAACACCGTTTGGTATTGATGTAGCATGTGTGTAATGGTCCAGTTGGTCCATTATGACTAATGTGTATCACGTCAAGGCCACAGGATTATGCTCTGAACACTCCTTGACCATGTACCGGACCAGAACATGGTAGGCGGTCCATCTGTTCCAGCCTTGGAAGAAAACATGGGGGCAGGAACACATGCGCAGTGCCGCTTACTCTTCACACCTTCTTGTAAACGGTTATTACATGTGACAGTAGTTAGATATAATAGTGTTGTAGGGTCTTTTGTCTGTGTTAAGCTGCTATGTACCAAGGGACATCTGAAAAACAGGTCACGGAACTGATTGTGAAGTTCTAATGAATAACGAAGTGAATGAATGAATTAAATGAAAGCCAAAAGGCAATTCACAGAAAACACGTACAAATTAGATTTAAAGCCGATAAACCTTGCAAGTCTCGTACATGTTAGCATTATGAATGTTCATTATACCTGCCTGATTTAAACCCAATGGAATTATACTATATTTATAGCTGTGTCTCATGATTATATTTTTCCTCCTTACTTTACTGTGTGGCTGGTGCAACTGGAAGCGTAAATGAAATTGTGTTTAACTCACATGTCTGGCGCTGGCTCTAAGTCAAAGTCCGAGGTTATTTATCTTTTTTTTGGCAGCACATATTATAAAATTGTTCTAAAGCAGTTCATCAGTTACAAAGTTAAATGAAACAAGGCCATTTCCTACCCATGCCAGTTACTGACTTTACATTTTGCTGCTGGGGGAAGTTTAACATGATTATACATTCCTTGTTTGAGCCAGTTGTTTTAAATGGGCTCAATACTGTCATGGTCTAAGGAATCAAAGAGACCCGTAGTAATCCTACCCAATCCTTCTTCTGGAGCAGATATGAAACGTGGCCCCAAGGGGATTTGTCTCGCCACATAGTATTATTCCATAACTTAACAACAGTTTAAGACTCAGGACAAAAACATTGCATCCAACTTTGCATGTTGAATGATAGTGGAAGTAGCTACAGTTCATGTATGGCAATGGTTTCTTGTAGTCTATATATACCCTTTGTCAGTGATGAAGCTATAAGAAAAACTACTAGTAAAAGAAATCTTTAAAGAACTGCCTCTTACTTAAGCTCAAAGATAAAAGATTTGTCTGGGATCCAATGGTTTTTCAGTTGTTTTCTGCAATGTGAAAATATGCAGTGCAATTAGTTTCTCAGAGGAAACATTGACAGTACTCTTGATTAGATAACCAAGTTTATAACAAACAAACAAACAAACAAACAAACAAACAAACAAATCAATCAGAGATAGCAGATTTCACCCATTCATAGAAGTCATAAACATACACACAGATGTATACTAGACAGACACACACACACACAAATTTTCTCCCCTGGGGCCGGACAAACATGACCATGGAACTCTAAACTTGGGTAGTACTTTTGTTTTCACCAAGCTGGTTTAAAGATTTCGCCTACCCTAGGCTGTAAGACATGTGAGGTCTTCATGTTGGTGAGGAATAGTGGGATTGTGATGTCGGCGGGGCTGGGATGATTCATCATGCTGTTGTTCATGTCAGCGTGGAAATCGCTCCAACACAGGGCACCCCGACCGCCATCGAATCTTCTCTGAATCCTGCACCGGTGCAAGTTCCAGACAACGGCTTAAAGGATTGAAAAGTGTGGGAAACAAGGAGTGAGTGGTAATGAATCTTAGAGACGGGGACTGCTACAAAAGGGCAAGCTGAGAGGGACCTTAAAGTACATCAGGTACTAGGTAGAACTTAAGTATTACCATGCAATAATACACAAGTTCTGTCAGCATGTTAGACTCAGGTAGACTCAGAGTGTTCTCCAGAGAGTTAAACTTGAAGTGTTCATACCACAAAATCAAAGTGAAATATAACATTGAACAGTACTACAGCTATATTACCACCTTGTTAGCTTTAGTCCGCTACCCAAGATCCGCTCCCCGTTGGGCTAGTTTCACTAAGAATCCATCTCTCCTAGTTATACACCCTACTGCTGTAGTAATGACTTTGTTAGGTGTACAT